GTCAGACCCGGTGGGGCTTAGCCCGTCTGGCCCTCCGGGACATACTCCATTCTTAGTAAGTCCTTACCTGTCCTTGCGGCTCAGCGGCCTTCCGTGCAGAATGTAGATCTTAATAGTTGTCAATAGTGGAAGGTTTTACTGAAGAGACTTTTTAAGATGTTTCGTTCTCTAAGCAAACTTGATGCTTAAAAGTAAGGGTTTAAAATATAACCAGAGAAGAATGCAACCTAGGCCATGAATATTGGCCTTACAGATGTTTTACGGGAACAGTTCATTCCAGTGACTTAAAAATCGTTACTCCAGCGGGACACTTAAAGCTGCGCACAGTTAACCAAGACTTATGTTAATTTTCTTTATGTTACTTTTGATACGATATTATGAGTAAATTATTAAATTGAGCCTTAGATCCTGCAGTCATTCTTATTAGTAAATCTTAATATAGCGTCACCTCACTTACTGGCACAGATGAGAACCAGGGAGGAGAAAAAGAGTCCTCTTGTCTAAAACTCCAGCTCTTGATGTAAGGCCACTCCTGGGAAGCCCTCCTGGAATCTAGGCTCTTAATCCTGGTCCTACAATAATGCCTGGCATGATGCGGGTACTTAAAAATATTTGTTGATGAGACAGACTTCTGCAAATCCTGGGCCCTGGGGATACAGTAGGCAGGAAAACCAGGCTTAGAGGAGGCAGACATTTATCTCTCACACACGCATAATGTAGAGATGCACCCTGGTAAGACTTGTGAAGGAAAGGTGCTGAGTTTGTAGAGGGTGACCTGGCCTAGTTGGAAGAGCAGAGAAAGCGTCCCCCTGAAAGTGACATTTGAGCTGGTCTGAAGGATAATGGGGATTCACTAAATAAAGGAAGGAAAGTGGGAGGAGGCCGTATTCAGAGAACGGAAAGGTAGTCAATGGGGAGAGGAGAGTGAGGTGCAGGTTAAGAGAGAGATCAGGGCCAGGCAAGGAGTTGGCTCTTTGTCCCAGGATCAGAGGGTTTTAGGCAGGAAAGTTATACAATCATATATATGTATGAAGTTTACTTTCCACCCGCAAGTCAGGTTAGAAATGTCAACTCACAGGAGTGGGTGAGGAGCTAGGAGTGCGAATGGGATTGGAAGTGGTTTATAAAAATGGGGACAAAAGGAGGTGCAAGATGTGACCAAACGATGGGATTTGCAGGCCATTTAGTGGAGGGACAAACTGCCCCTCTGTACCTCGGCATCTCCTGAGGCTGTGATTACAACATAATGCAGTCATGGGCGTCTGCAATGATTCTGTAATCAGTAATGACTTGTGCTTCGTCCCTTTTAAGAAGCCCCGAGGACGCAGTAAGACCAGTGCTCTTGGCCTCCTGGAGCCCCCAGTGCTGTGGGGAGAAGGCACATGGATCAGACAGATAATAAGGAAAGGAAATAAGCATCAGTAGTGTTTGGGTCATGGGATTTGGATAGTTTTCCTTTTCTGTGTTTGGCTTTTGGTATTTTGCAATATTGTTCTGTAATTTGTTTTACTTAGGTGATAAAATTTATAAATATTACATACACTTTTAAGAGAAATTTCTATAAACAGTGGTTCAGATGAGAAAGTTTTTGTACAGCTCCAAGTTTGCTCTTGGCTTTAATTGAAAATCGACATAAAAACATGCCCCTTGGTTGATGAGCTTTTTTTTTTTTTTTGGTAGAAGTGCAACCAAAGAGATCATTCTCATTTAGTGACCTTTATTTATTTATTTATAATTTTTTTGGTGTGGGGGGAGGTATAGTGACCGTTCTTTAAAAAGCAAACAAACCCCAAACACACACAAACAAAACTTGTTAAACTTTTTATTAATCAATTACTATGTTCTTTCTTGTCTCTAGCATCCAGGACACTCAGCCCTACCTTTTATACACAAATGTAGTGATTTCCCTTTCCCCGTGTTTCAGGGAGGAATATTCTCCTATATATGTTCCAAATTAGCATCCTTCAAAAACCCCAACGCTGCCGTGCAGAGAGCTGGTCCCACATGCCAAATTCCATTTAATCTGAGGAAGGACACCATCAAAAGTGGAAACTAAGCTTGAGATGAAGAGATAAACAGGGCAGGGCCTGGAACATTTCTGTCTCCCTCCCACCAGACTAACTCCAGTACCCTTTGTTCACTGCCCCTTCCCGGACCCTGTGCTGTCGTGCCCCACCCTACAGCCACCCACAAGACACCCCAGGCCAGAAATAAGACCTCCCTCTAGCTACGGACTCCTCGGAAAAGCCCAGAGTCTGGCCTGTACAACCTCCAGTATGGAGCTCCTCTCTGAATCTTCCTGGACGGTCACTACCACACCAGAGGTGAGGAGGAAGGACAAAGCATAGAAGCTTCCTGTCCAGAGACCCCTCTCCCTGCTCCTAGCATTTCCAGGCCAAAAAGAAAAGGAAACTTTCCCAAGTGAGCCCACTGTGGGGTCCACCTTGGGTGGTGAAGCTCTTGCCAAATCAGCCCTCCTCCTGCGGAGAACTATACCTTCTGCCAAAGTACTGCAAAATCACCACCTGAGGGTTTGAATAGAGAAAAGCATTCTTTAAAAATGAAAAGGAAATCTTTTCTGGGACTTGTGGAGCCCTCCTTGTCTGGAGCTCTGTTCCATACATGACCCAAAGGACAGGAGGTACCTCTCCTGGTTTCTCCTCCCGGACTGAGGGTAGCCAGGGCCCCTGGGGGAGCCACCTTCTGGTATTTCTCATCGCCTCTCTCATAGGTTTTTGTCATTCAGTATTTGAATGATAGGTTTTATGTAGTCGTTTTCCTGTCACCTGTGAAAATTATTCTCGTTTCTAATTTTTTCAGTGAGCGAACAGGCAGAGAGATTCACTTGGAAAAGTCAAACTGGTCAGCCAGGGTGGGTTTGATCTCTTAAGTGCTGCTCTGTTGCGAGAGCCCTGAGGCCAGCTCACCTGGCCGGGCACCTC